TTCAATTGGACACGATTCTGAACCCCTTCAGTTGTTAAACAATTTCTTTGCGGACTGAAAATATTTTTCATATGAGGAAAGATTTTTTTTACTTAGATATGTAGAAACAAATTCAAAAAGTAGATGCATGCAATTTTCTCCCTTCAAACAAATAAATCTCTCCAGCAATGACATTCAATAATTAACAAAATAGCAGTAAATTTATTTTTAGAGTTATCTTTCAGATTTTTTCATAATTCCTTAAATGTCCGTAATTTTAAACATGTTCCTATTCCATTCGAACTTTATCCGGACTTCCATCCACTCGAAAACTGACAAATTTGTAGAGTAGTGCAGAGTGCCAGTGAGAATGTTACCGCGGGCAGTAGGCTGCCGACCCCTGGTCTACACTATGTTACAGAGGGTTAAGAAAATAAAAATAATAATAAAATAAAATATTTTTTAGTTAGAAGAATACTTTGGCCTTAATATTATATATCCGGACTTTGCTATCCAGCATAAATCAGCATATTTATTTATCTACTAACCGTTACTCGCCACTATCCACTTTGCTCGATGTATCATGGTAATGTATGAATGTATATTGTTAATAAGTTATTGATATCTAAGTCTTCATTAAACTTTCGATTCTATTGCAGAGGTATTTTTATAGCCCTCGCCTCTTGATTAAAAGACGCAGGAGTGATTTTTACTACTCGACAAAAGAAACATACTTGCCAAATTTTAAATGTGTAGGTCAAATAGTTAAAAAAAATGGAAATTTTATATATAACGCTCTCGAAATCCCTCAATCCCCCTTGAGAGTCTATTTTCTCAAAACCCAAGACCCTTTCTTAGTGGATATCTACTCAACAAAAGAAACATGCTTACCAAATTTCAAGCTTGTAGGTCAAATAGTTTTAGTGATTTAATGATGAATGAGATAGTGAGTTGCTTTTCTCCAATAATTTACTTAGTAATTCTTATGTGATATACTCGTATAAAAAATAATAATGAATCTCAAAATAAAAATTTATTTTTTAAAATAGTAAAAGCATTTCTGTGTTCCTTTCTTTCATTAGTTTTATTGACCAATAAAAACAATTAGTCTGCAGAAATAATTAAATTTTCCGTTAAGTGAAGGAGATAGTCTGCAGAATCATAAGGAAACAAGTAATATTAAAAAAAAATTTTAAGTCAATTCAACAAAGAAAATTTTTATTTTAGTTACTTTTTATTCAATAATTACAAATAATATAAATATGAACTTACATATGATAGAATCACAATATTAGGTGTCAAAATACAAAGCGATTTTCCAATTTCCTTTCTACATATGGTGTTGAACTATTATTTTTGTTTGTTACTATTTATTCATTAACTTAATTTAATTATTCCATTAAAACAGTACAATAAAAAGAAAAAAAATCACACATTCTCAGAAATTAAGTCATCCCAGGTGGATTTCGAACCCACGATCTTTGGATTAGAAGTCCAACGCGCTATCCATTGCACTACAGGGACTCAACGAGCGTTTTTCCTTTATATACATGGTATTGGACTATTTATTTTTGTTTATTATTATTTATTAATTAATTAAATTTAATTAATGAATTAATATTTGAAAAAACTGTATTAACATCAAGTGTCATGCACTACAAGTTTAAAAAATGTATTTGAACTTGAATGGATGAAAAAAAGTTATTAATGATTGAAAATTTGAAAAAGATATATATATATATATATATATATATATAGGGAAAGTGTGAAGTAATAGAGTAGTAGGAATTTTGAAAAAACAACTGGTTAATCCGACATAATTTATATTTACATATATACATAATCAAAATATTTTAATACTATATTATTATTTTTTCATTACTGTTGTAGTTCTCAATAACTTTTATCCATAGTTTCCTGTTACACATTGTATCAAATGCAATTTCTATCATGTTGCACACAGACCATCATCTAATAGAATATTTTATGGTGCCGCCATTTCTAGATGTTTCGGTCACTTGCATTCATTGATTAATTGCAAATACAACCCTGCACGTGACACCAGTGTAAGTTTGCTTTGCTCGAAAGCCTTGATTCTGTCTCTCAACCACATTTGCAGTTGACCTCACTTTGACAAATCAGTTACGCGAACCACGCCTCAACTCATTCAATTTCCCAAATGGCGTGATATCAACAGGCAAGAGATGAAAAGGTCCATGAAGTTCTCCAAAGGGTTTGCGATTAAGATTTTCAAAGGGTAATTCGATGAATGTATTGTGAAGTATCATACGAGATATACACAGAAAAGTGTAGAAAATATAACTCAAAATTATATTATTAAGTATCCAAATATTTGCGACAATTTAAAAAAAAATGGAGATTTTTTGTGGTTTTTTTTATTTATTCAGTACATTTTAAGAAAAAAAGGGTTAAAACTAAGAAGAAAAAAAATAAGTATTACTATTAAAATGGGTAAAAATTAACAAAGAATTACATAAACGGGGCCCCCTCTGTACAAAAATATTAAATGAAAAGATTTTCAATTTTTCAATTTTGATAAATTACTTTGCTATTCCTTTTTGAAATTACCTTCAGGATAAGGGATATTTTAATTTTTACAAAAAACTAGAGAACTTTATATTAGTTATTATATGAAATTGCTTAAAAAACAGCGATTATATTCACATAAAGAACTGTAAATTTTTTTTATATAACAGTGATTGATAAATCTGAAGGTTAAAACACTTTTAATGTTATATAGTACGTACACAAAAAATTTCAGCAAATTATTTTAAAAACGTTTTGAGCAATCGCTGTCTAGTTTCAGCTTTTCGAAAAAAAAAACATTTCGAGTAAAATGCATTTTAAACTTTGACATCTTATGTAAAGTTATGGCATCTGCTTTTACTAAAACACTTGTAGTTTTTTGTTCCAGTGAATGGAAAATAAAACACTTTGTATTTTTATAAAGCTAATAAGATGGCCTGTAAAATAAAATCATACAAAAATTGTCAATTTTTTACAAAAATCATGATTTTAGGGTAATCGTATACCCCTTAAACGAGTAATTAATAACAAATAGATACTTTGTAAAATATTCGAATAATTACTAGATATTAGTATGAAATTATTTAAAACGGATAAAATTTATGAGGATTTTAAGTACTGTGAATATTCCGACATATTACGCTTGACTTTTTTTCAAACCGGAAAAGTACGCGTGCAATACTTTATTTTTTGAAGTCTAGATATAGTGCATCAATGGACACAAATAAAAGCATGGAATGAAAAACTTATCCTGGCATAGATCAATAGTCGTTTTAAGAAAATGTAGTGCATCTAATAATCTAGAGGCAACGGAAGATTACTATTTATTGATCCAAATAACAGTGATGATGAAAATGAAACAGAACTCGATAATATGTCCGAAGATATGACGAACTTTTCAGGTTATATATCAGATATTAAAAGCTCACAGAGAGAATACCATTTTCACTAGATAAAAAGTATTTAGATATTTAAAGAAATGTGGTTTTTTAAATGCTGATCTTTTCTTCATTTTTAAAGCTTTCGTTTTTATACCCAGTGTATAACGCACAGCCCCGTAAATTTCGATCTTATGTTTCGTGTTAAAAGTGCGAGTTATACGCCGCATTTTTTAAAGGTACTTCTCTTTATATTTCTAAGTTCTTAAGTTTTTGAAACGGAATAAAAAATTTTTAAATTAATTTCAAATTTCCATAAGTATTTATTTGAAGTTTCCTATCTCCTCTTCTACAATAATTACTCCATATTCACTTTACGTTTGTCTTAATAATTATTTGGTACTTACGTATTATCGCTACTTATTGGTGACATTGTAATGAAACGAAACACATGGATGCCAATTCAGAGTGCACGACACATAAAAGTAGGGGTTCGCCAACTTGGCGAGTTATTAATAGAATTGGCTATAGTTGAGATAATACGTAAATACCTTGCAATGCTGTTTCGTGCACGCTATCCATTAACTTTTTAATGTTCTAGTACAATTTTCCCGATATTTTCAATGCTCTAATTGGATAAATTTAAATTAAAGATTTAAAAAACTATTGTTCTATTTTTTAATATTTATAAATTTGGGGTGAAAAATATTGTTAATTAAACATATAAACCACTTAGTAAGTATTTAAACGAGCCCTCTAGAAAATTAAGCCAATGCTTACAAGGTACAAAGCTTTTCAAAGTTATATATATATATATATTATTGGTTTAGCTTTACACTGTCTTTAAAAGGGATGTTTACATTTGAGAAAGTATAATTATTGCTATTATTAAATTGAAACCACTAAAAGAGGAAATCTAAATTTAAAATAAGAAAACATAACTAAACACTAGTTAACTATTTCTTTTGATTTATGATAATTATATTTTCATGCATTAATGTGAATTCTTCGGGCCAATTTATGTTAGAATACATTAATGTCCATGGTATATTAGAAATAAGATGAGATGTGGTTGTTTTGACAGGTTCTAAGCAAATTATGTGTGTAATTTCAGCAATGTAAATAAATAGATGTAAGTTTATTTAAAATCATTTTTCGCGTAAAAAAGTGGCAGTAAACAATTTTTTTCTTAATTTTGTGTTACATTAGGATGAAAAAAAATAATTAGCAGACATTAATTATTAGTGACTTAAGTTAATTTTATTCTTTATTGTTAAATGAATTTTATCCGATATGGATCTAAGTACTTTTAAATAATGTGCTATCCTTTTTCAATTCCCACTGTTAGTTCACACTCTCCCTATATATATATATATATATATATATATATATATATCTTGTTCAAATTTTCAGTCGTTAATAAAATACTTTTTATTCATCCACTCATGTTCAAATGCATTTTTTTAAACTTGTAATGGATAACACTTGATGTTAATACAGTTTTTCCAATATTAATTCATTAATTAATGAATAATAAGTAACACAAACAAAAATAAAAGTCTAACACCACATATAAAAAGGAAAACCGCTCGTTGTATCTCTGTGGCGCAATGGATTGCGCGTTGGACTTCTAATCCAAAGTCGCGGGTTCGAATACCACCTGGGATGGCTAACTTCTGAGAATGCGATTTCTTTTTACTGTACTATTTTATATTGGCATAATTAAATTTAACTAATGAATAAATAGTAGCAAACAAAAATAATAGCCCAACACCCTATACAGAAAGAAAAATCAATTTCTGTTTTGCCACTTATTATTGTGATTCTGTCAAATGTATATACATATATGTATATTAATTGTAATTATTTAATAAAAAGTAACTAAAATAAAATTTTTCTTTGTAGACATAAGTAGGAATTGACTTAAAAATTTTTTCTGTATATTACTTGTTTAGTAAGGGAATTATGGATTTTTAAAATCAAATTAATGCGTTTAATCTAATTAGTTTTCTCTTACATACAATTTTTTTTTATCAAAAGCTTGCATGTTTTAACCAAAATAAATTTTTCCCTTCCAGACGTTTTTAGAAATGTAATACTTCACCATATGCTTCGAAGGATTTCTTTAAAAAAACCACACAATTCGAACCATATGTGTCCAACTTTCTTTGTGTATTTCCTGTCACTCACATTTTCCTCAACTGTAACACCGGAATACGACCAAACGATTTTAAAAAAACCGCACCGTATCCAAACGAAGGGTGTGTGCCCTAATCAATGAAAGTTAAATGTCCAGTCCAATCGCTTCTGTAAGAAACAGACGATTCTTCGAGAGTGAAACCAAATGTGTGTGGGGGGGAGGAGGAAAAGAACGAGTGAAGGAGGGGGGTGAGTAGAAAATGCAGCCATAAAACAGACGAAACAAGTCGTACGTGACCCAAGAACTCGTCTTAATACACGCTTTTACTTAAAAGCAAAAGATAAAAAAGAACAGCAATAATGAAATATTCTCCTAGCGAACAAATCTTCCTCGAAGTTCATAGGTTAGGCGGTCCCGCCTCGAACTCGTACGACGGTCTCAGACCTGATGCCAAAAAGAAAAAAAAGAAAAAGGAAGTAAAAAACGAATAAATAAACACGATCAAAATTCGAGGCGTTGTCCGTCCGTTGGGCACGCGTCTCTGTCACAGGTGACGGACGGACACCTGTTACTTCTCGCGCTTGCCGCTTCTTAAATTCGCACCCTAAAAATTTGGGAAGGGTCTCTATTGCTAGCCCTCACGCCAAACGATCGTCTGTAGCAATCGCCACCCCCTTCGATCGATTCTGATGGGTTTTATCAAAGATTTTTTAATCATATCTACTCCCGCTGGACATTGCGGTGTTTAAGAGTATCGCTAAAAATCGCCTGCGGCCCGGAAGTTGCCAAAAGAAAAAAAAAAAAAAATTTACGATTTTTGCTTCTTTATCTACAACATATTTCAACTTTCCCCCTTTCACATTTGTCTCTGTTTATTAATTTTTTCAATATTTTTTTTTCGTTTGCTCTTAAGCCGAGTTCTGTGTCTAGGTGGGGCTCAGTCAGGTGAAGTAAGGTTGGCAATGAGGGGTTGAAAGGTGTGCAGAATGTGACGAATGCGTCCAGATCAGGCGAAAAATGTGACGTTTGGCTTTTAAGCTTGTGTGAAGCGCCTGACAATGATTGGGGTTAGACATCGGTTGTAATTAATGCTTTTTTAACTGAGCTCGCTTGCTGATACACGCAGAAAATTGGCAGTGCAATATTTAGAACATTTAAATATAAATTCTTACTTAACCGTTTTTTCATATTGATTTTGTAAAAAAAAATTATTTTATCAGTTCATCTAAAAATCATTTCCTAATTAAAATCTAAAGCGGCAGACAAGGGGGGACAAGGGTGAGGTTTGGAGGTTCCCCCCTCCCCCTATAGATCAATAGATTTTTTAATTTTTATCAGAAGCATTGGGCTCGTCAATGTGTTTTCTAGAATGTTCGCCCCCTCCTAGGGGAAAAACTGTTCATGCTACTGACGTCCCTAAAAACTTTATAAATCTATCCAAACACACACACGCGACATTACATTACAAATCGAAAGCATGAACCACTAAACAATCATTTAAAAATTTTATTTCACTTGAATATTAACTGTAAAATGAAAAAAGAAATTAAGGTAAGAAATTAGTCACTTTTTAGATATTTCCATCATGATGTATCAATTTTTTTTATGTTTAATACTACAGAAAACAATTATTTTTATTGGCAATCTTTTTTTTCAATGGCATAGTATCTATTTCTATCTGAAATAATTTCTGTTAATTTAGAATAATAGGATGTATAAATTATATTTATACATTTAACTTTTCACCGCTTCTTTTAAACATTTTCTCGTATTGTTATATCACAATTGCTTATCTTCTGTAACACATATGACTTAATTATACTACTCTATGAGGTTCCACATTGAAAAACTGACATGCCTTTAAAAGAAATGGAGCATGCAAAATAAAAAAAACTGAAATTTCTAATAATATTTATTTAGGGGGTTTTAATCGGTAATGATTTAAAAGGAAATCAAAAAGTATATTTTACTTTTCCCAAAAGTTAACATTTGTTTGCTGTTAAAGTAGTTAATACTTGTTTCGAACGGAAATGTGTAATTTTAAAGGGATTAAATTTTTTGAGTAATTTAAAAAAACGCTAATAGTATATTTTGTATTTAATTGTTCGCAGAAAATTCCTTTTCTATTGGAAATTTTATAGAAAAAATAATCTTTTAACAATATGAAACTTAATTCATTCTTATACTTGGAAAAGTGAAAAAAAAAAAAAACTCTTCTAAAAACAGTTTTATAATAATATGTTACGAATTTTAAAAAATTCAGATTTATAAAACAAAATACTCACAAATTCTTTTTTGCAGTTCGTATTATTTTTCTTTTTATAATTCTGCTGTCTATGGATTCTTTTTGAAATTTAAAAAGGTAATGTACTTATTAAGGCAGTTGTAATGACCCTTCAATATGAATCGTTGTCTTGTTAGTATTTGAAGCTTCTTTATGTTTGAATTTGTCCTTTAAAACGTTAGCAGAATATTTGTGTTATATTGCAAAATTATTTCATATTGAGTTTGAAAGATTTTTTTCAATTTAAAACTATTTAATATTGACTATTGGAAGACCATTTCATATGACAGACGATTTTTTTCTCACGACCTATAACAGAGTTCTATTTTCAGGATATATGTAAGGAAAGAAAAGAAATCTTATTATTTATACAAAAAGAAACAAAAATATTTATTCGACTACAAATTTGGAAAAAATAGCCTTTTTTAATCCGTGAATGATTTTAAGCCACCATTTCTTAAGGATAAGACCAAATCACATAGATTGCTAAGCCTAACCATATCGAATTTTCTTTAGGCCACCATCCTACTTTTCTTAATTTATTTTTGAGACGTATGAGCTAAAAACGTAGATTCTACAAACAATTTTCTGCTAACCGTATAAAATAAAATTAAAATATTTATTCGACGACAAACATTGGAAAAAAATAAGGTTTTCTAATCTGTAAATGGACTTTTTAAGCCACCATTTTCAAAGCTGAAAACAAATTGTCGAGATGTTTAAACCCAACCATATCAAATTCCATTTAAACAACCATCCTGCTTTTACCTCAGAAGCAATAGTTTAAAAAAAAAATGGAAAGAATATTAAGTCAATATTCTACGAGAATTCTGAAAATAGATTTTTCCAGTTGCCATTTTTAAAGCTAAGAACAATTCGCAGAGATGGCTAAGCCTAACCATATCGAATTCTATTTAAACAAACATACTACTTTTATCCCAAAAGCAAAAGTTGTCAAAGAGGTTAAAAAAAGTTGGAAAAGGAAAATTAAGTCAATATTCTGCGAGAAGTTTCCTTTCAGTAGAGCTGCCTGGAGTTGATTTTGGGGCTATAAATAGCGTTGGACTGGTTGAATTATTTCGCTCAGCGGGGTCGTAATTAAAGAAGAACGATTGCTATTCTGTCGGTGTCAGCTTGGGAACGAATTTAAGAAAGTAATCATTCCATCAAAGCTTGTGATATCACTGAGCTGGCATATGTTCCGTTTTTGCTTCGTTAAGCCCATGTAATTTGTACTAATTTGCTTGGAATATGGGTATGTGTATTGGCTTGGAGTATATAAATCTTTTTTCGAACATTTTTGGATGATTTTATTGTAATAAGTTGTGACATAAGGAGAAATATTAAAGGAAAACAATCCATGTATAAATTTTATCTCAAATCTCGTCAAGCAGGCTTTATTGGCGACAACACACAATATTCACATAAAAAAAATGTTTATAAATATTAATTCCAATTGGTTTACTATCCATTTCTTTAATTATGAAAAAGACGTTACTGATAAGAAAAGATCACAACTTAGTTTGAAAATGTGGAAGTAAAAGGTTACCAGCTGGAATATTCCGTTTGGTGTCGGTTGTATAATTTTTTACGACTTCATCGTCTTTGCCGGCGAAATGGAAAAGTACCTTAATTTTTATTAATGCATCGAAATTAAGTTTACAGCGACTAAGTATATATTCTATTAATCAACAAATTCACAGTAATATAAAATTTGTTCTGCAAATTCATTTTTAAAATATATGACTAAAAAAAAAATTTTTTTTTTAGCCATCTAGTTCATACAGGAAAAAATTGTGTGCAACATACAGGAAAAATTTTACGTACGCCATTTTGGAGAAATTTTCTATTTTGAATTTTCATAATTTCTTCGCATTAGTAAAAACGACGTGAAATGCTACTAGATATAATTTAAGAGAAAACACACACACAAAAAAATAAATTCTGTATTTGGGAATAAAAGTTATATTGGCACGTAAAAACTTATGTGATGCCGTTGGCGACCTTAGGCAAATTTCACCAAATTTTGGCTATTATCCTTAGAATGATAGCCAAATGGAGTTTTGCAGATGGATAGCTTCCATGAGATTAATAAGTAAGTGCCGATATTTTAAACTTGTAATTCAAGTGTAATGACACAAAATATTCAATAATATTTTTTTAACTTCTAGGGAATTTTTGATGAAAAATCCCCGAATACTTTCATAAAATTTCCCTTGTTATCTCTCTATTTTTGGAGAAAAA